ACCTTTTTATTTATTTCTTAAAAAAATATGTATTCTACCTTTCGAAAACTATTTTTATTTTTGTCATGTTGTTGTAAAAATACAAATATTAAACTTCTGAGATTTTACAAATAATTGCCATATTTATTACTTTTGAGGAAAATCCATTTTTTATTAGTTTACTAATTTATTCAAACGTTGATCCGCATTCAAATAGTATATTTGTAACATATAACACATACACTTGAACCCAATGTTGAACCACATTAAATTTTAAAAAAATTCATATGCAACAAATAAAGTGAATCCTATAAGGACAATAAATGTTTGACACCTGGTTTACTAAGTTTAGCAAACTAATGGAATGAGTGTCTAGACTGTCTATAAAACGAGCGGACTACTCGAGTCGAGAAGGGACAACTTACCAGTAGAAGGGCTTTCTGGCCTCACTGTTAGTCCTTCCCATCCTAAGACATGTGTTACTATAGAATCCTTCCCAGGAGCGTTGCCGCATCTCTGGTATCTCATAGCTCGGGAGCGTAATCGCATCTCCGAATAAAGTATCTCAGAAGACTCAGATAGATTCCGAGGAAAGATAGTTATATGATAGTTAACATATTATCAAAAGGGTAAATAAGCAAGCAAATAACATATTATGCAATTAAACACAATATTCACAAATCGACAAGTACGTAAAAATATAATAAAGTCATGTATAAGTCCATGTTTACAAGCTCGAATTCTAGTTAGTCCCCAGCAGAGTCGCCAGAGATGTCACACCCCTTTTTCGCGCGGCGGCGTAAGGGTTTTTTCAATTTAAGTGACGTTATTAATTAGGGGATTATTTTAATTTTTTCAGATTCGCCACTTGGAATTGAGTTACGGTGTTCCAAGTCACTTTTTTTGTTTAATCCCTAATCAAAAGGAAATGACTCTTTGTTTGGTCTGCGAACGAGTTCGGGTAAGGAATTCTGTTGACCAAGGGGAAGGTATTAGGCATCCCTCGAGTCTCGTGGTTCTAGCACGGTCGCTTTATGGACATTCATGACTTAAACTAATTTATGAATATTGTATTATTAAGACAAATATATTTACCCTCATTCTTTGACTTATATAAATATATTAAAACTACCTTATTTTATTAATCTATGCCTTTTAATTAAAATATGTATATACACATACAAATT